CAACACAGACTACAAATTAACACTTATTTATAGGTAAAGATAATACTTTGATTTTAGCTGCCTCTTTGCTATTACCATATCCTCTTAATATTTCAAATGCCAAAATTAGTTTACTACAATAAAATCTATCATAGTTTTGTTTTTTTGTTTTTTTTTTTGAGACGGAGTTTCGCTCTTGTTACCCAGGCTGGAGTGCAATGGCGTGATCTCGGCTCACCGCAACCTCCGCCTCCTGGGTTCAGGCAATTCTCCTGCCTCAGCCTCCTGAGTAGCTGGGATTACAGGCATGCACCACCATGCCTAGCTAATTTTTTTATTTTTAGTAGAGACAGGGTTTCACCATGTTGACCAGGATGGTCTCGATCTCTTGACCTCGTGATCCACCCGCCTCGGCCTCCCAAAGTGCTGGGATTACAGGCTTGAGCCACCGCGCTCGGCCTTGTTTTTGTTTTTAAACAGGGTCTCACTTTGTTGCCCAGGCTAGATTGCAATGATGCCATCACAGCTCACTGTAGCCTCAATCTCCCAGGCTAAAGCGATCACCCCACCTCCACCTCCCAAGAAGCCTCACCAACATACCTGGCTAATTTTTTTTATTTTTAGTAGAGACAAGGCTGTTACAATTTACTTATTTATTTTATTTATTTGTTTTTTTGAGACAGAGTCTTGCTCTGTTGCCAGGTGCCAGGCTGGAGTACAGTGGAAGGATCTTGGCTCATTGCAACCTCCACCTCCCAGGTTCAAGCAATTCTTCTGCCTCAGCCTCCCAAGTAGCTGGGACTACAGGCGCACCACACCCAGCTAATTTTTGTATTTTTAGTAGAGACAGGGTTTCACCATGTTGGTCAGGATCATCTTGATCTCTTGACCTCATGATCCACCCACCTTGGCCTTCCAAAGTGCTGGGATTACAGGAGTAAGCCACCGCCCCGGTCTTATTTTTTAATTTTTTTTTTTTCTGAGACGGAGTCTCACTCTGTTACCCAGGCTGGAGTGCAATGGTGCGATCTCGGCTCACTGCAACCTCTGCCTCCCAGGTTCAAGCAATTCTCTTGCCTCAGCCTCCTTAGTAGCTGGGATTACAGGTGCGTGTCACTGTGCCCAGCTAATTTTTCTATTTTTAGTAGAGATGGGGTTTCATCATCTTGGCCAGGCTGGTCTTGAACTCCTGACCTCATGATACACCTGCCTCAGCCTCCCAAAGTGCTGGGATTACAGGCATAAGCCACGGCGCCCGGCCCTATTTTTTAATTTTTAACTAAGATTCTGAGCCATTTGTTACTCTGGAGGTTATAGTTTTTAAATGAGCTCTGACTTAGTAATTATTTTTTCTCTTTCAATAGCCTAAAATATTAATTTAATTCAACAAGTATTTATTAAACACTCACTATATACCTGGTACTATACTAAAGTCTGGGATACAAACACATGATCCTTGACTCAAGGGGCTTCCACTATAAATACAGAGGTGGAACAGTGATTATAAACATTATTTCACTGGCTTTCGTTATTAACAGTTATGGTATCGTAGCATGGACTCCACAGGAAAGGATCCCTTTTCACTGGTATTATTAAGAAAAAGCTGCCGGGCGCGGTGGCTCAAGCCTGTAATCCCAGCACTTTGGGAGGCCGAGGCAGGTGGATCACAAGGTCAAGAGATCGAGACCATCCTGGTCAACATGGTGAAACCCCGTCTCTACTAAAAAATACAAAAAAAATTAGCTGGGCATGGTGGTGCGTGCCTATAATCCCAGCTACTCAGGAGGCTGAGGCAGGAGAATTGCCTGAACCCAGGAGGCGGAGGTTGCGGTAAGCCGAGATCGTGCCATTGCACTCCAGCCTGGGTAACAAGAGCGAAACTCCGTCTCAAAAAAAAAAAAAAAAGCTTTGTCGAGCATTTGACACCTGCCTTGAATCTGACCAGTTAATTCTAATTCTGCTAATATGAAGTATCACTCACCATATAGAGGCTGTTCTTTTTCCTTTTTTGAGACAAGGTCTCACTCTTGCCCAGGTTGGAGTACAATGACACTAGTATGGCTCACTGCAGCCTGGAACTCCTGAGCTGAAGCAATCCTCTAGCCTCAGCCTCCCGAATATCTCGTACTGCAGCGCAAGCAACCACGCCTGATTAATTTTTATTTTTTTGGTAGAGATGGGATCTTGCTAAGTTGCTCAAGCTGGCCTCAAACCATTGGCCTCTAGTAATCCTCTGGCTTCGACCTCTCAAAGTGCTGGGATAATAGACATGAGCCACCACACCTGGCCCCTAGTACAATGTTAAACAATAGTTGAATATCATTGTTTTGTTCCTGACTTTAGAGGGAATTTCTTCATTGTTTCTCTTTTAAACATAATACTGAATAACCTTTTAAATAACAACTAATGTTTAATCAAAACAGTTAATCGAGTCAGTACCAATACATTTGGTTTGATACATAAAATACTAGTAGTACCTGTAATAGTTACTTCTGCTTTCAACTTACTTGATAGTATCTGCAAAGCTGACTCGACGCGAGTTTTTCTTATTTCTCAAAGCATTGGATTCCTAAAGGCAGAGAATATATGCTATTAAGTCTTAGAAAAATCACTGTGAATTACATCTCAGAGTACTACAGACAGATATCAACTCTTTTTTTTTTTTTTGCCTTGAGACAGAGTTTTGTTCTGTCACCCAAGCTGGAGCGCAATAACTCAATCTCAGCTCAATGCAACCTCTGCTTCCCCGGTTCAAGCAATTCTCATGTCTCAACTTCCCAAGTAGCTGGGATTACAGGAGTATGCCACCATACCCAGCTAATTTTTTTTATTTTTAGTAGAGACAGGGTTTCACCATGTGGGCCAGGCTGGTCTCGAACTGATCTCAAGTGATCCTCCCACCTTGGCCTCCCAAAGCGAAAAACTGCCCCTGGCCAGAGATCATGTCTTATTCTGAATTACTTCTTCAGATGTTGTACTATGTGTCAGAATTTCCTTCTTTTTTTCAAGGCTGAATAATACTTCATTTTATGTATATACTATCACATTTTGTTTATCCATTCATCCATCAATGGGCACTTGAGTTGCTTCCACCTTCTGGCTACTGTGATTAATGCTGCTATGAACATGGGTGTACAAATATCTCTTTGAAACTCTCCTTTCAATTCTTTTGGATATATATCCAGAAGTGGAATTGTTGGATCATATGGTACTTCCAGTTCCAATTTTTTGAGAATTGCCGTACTGTTTTCAATAGCAGCTGTACCATTTTATATCCTCACCAACAGAGCACAAGGTTTCCAATTTCCCTGCATCCTCAACAACACTTGTTATTATCTGTCTTTTTTTTCTTTTTGAGAGGGAGTCTCACTCTGTCACCCAGGCTAGAGTGCACTGGTGTGACGTCGGGTCACTACAACCTCCACTTCCTGGGTTCAAGCAATTCTCCTGCCTCAGCCTCCTAAGTAGCTAGGATTACAGGTGTGCAACACTGTGCCTGGCTAACTTTCATATTTTTAGTAGAGACAGGGTTTCCCCATCTTGGTCAGGCTGGTCTCGATCTTCTGAACTCATGATCTGCCTGTCTAGGCATCCCCAAATACTGAGATTACAGGTGTGAGCCACTGTGCCTGGCCATCTGTTTTTTATTTTAGCTATTCTAATGGGTAGTAGTGAGGCGGTATCTCATTGTGGTTTTGATTTTTATTTCCCTAATGGCCAATGATGTTAAGCATCTTTTCATTAGAATATACTATTTTTACTTTCCTTCCCCACCTTCCTTAATAAGAGCAAACATTTCTACTCACATAAATACCACACACAAACACCAAAAGACATTAAGAATGAACTTGCTGGGTTTTTTTTCTTTTCTTTTCTTTTTTTTTTTTTTTTTGAGACGGAGTTTCGCTCTTGCCAGGCTGGAGTGCAATGGCGCGATCTCAGCTCACCGCAACCTCCGCCTCCTGGGTTCAGGCAATTCTCCTGCCTCAGCCTCCTGAGTAGCTGGGATTACAGGCACGCGCCACCATGCCCAGCTTATGTTTTGTATTTTAGTAGACACGTTTCACCATGTTGACCAGGATGGTCTCGATCTCTCGACCTCGTGATCCACCCGCCTCGGCCTCCCAAAGTGCTGGGATTACAGGCTTGAGCCACCGCGCCTGGCCTTTTTTTTTTTTTTGAGATGGAGTTTCGCTCTTGTTACCCAGGCTGGAGTGCAATGGCGTGATCTCGGCTCACCGCAACCTCCGCCTCCTGGGTTCAGGCAATTCTCCTGCCTCAGCCTCCTGAGTAGCTGGGATTACAGGCACGTGCCACCATGCCCAGCTAATTTTTTGTATTTTTAGTAGAGACGGGGTTTCACCATGTTGACCAGGATGGTCTCGATCTCTTGACCTCGTGATCCACCCACCTCAGCCTCCCAAAGTGCTGAGATTACAGGCTTGAGCCACCGCGCCCGGCTCTTTTTTTTTTTTTTGATACAGAGGCTCACTGTTGCCCAGGCTGGAGTGCACTGGTGCAATCTTGGCTTACTTCTCTTGCCTCAGCCTTCCAATTAACTGGGATTACAGGCACCTGCCACCATGCCCGCTTAATTTTTTTGTGTTTTTAGTAGGGATGGGGTTTCACCATGTTGGCCAGGCTGGTCTTAAACTCCCGACCTCATGATCCACCTGCCTCGTCCTCCCAAAGTGCTGGGATTACAGGCGTGAGCCACTGCGCCCGGCCCAAGCTTGCCGTTAAGTAAAAACATAAAATAATAATAATAAACCAAAAGACAGAAACAAACAAAATCCACAGAGATTTTACTGGGTTAATTCTGAATACCTGACCATAAGTCTTGCTGTAATAAAGAATCAGGAATGGTATCACCTCTGCATCAAAGCAGTGTACCTGGTTAAGGCCCCAGAAGACACTACAGGTAGTGGCCTTAAGCTTAACATGACAATTATAATAAGACATGGGAAAAACACTGGGACTAACAGAGACTAATATATTTCTTACTAAAAAAAAGGAAACTGATCTTCTCATAGTTCATAAGTGTGATTATAGGGTTTTCACATGCATGTGTGAGATGTGCTTTCCTCAAATTTTGTTACAATGTTGGCATATTATACATCTGACATGAAAGGCTTGGCACAGTGGCTCATGCCTGTAATACCCATACTTCAGGAGGCCTAGGCAGGATCATTTGAGCCCAGAAGCTCAAAGCCAGCCTGATCAACATAGCAAGACCCTGTCTGTACTAAAAAAAAAAAAACAAATCGTTTTAAAGGGCTGGGCACAGTGGCTGACGCCTGTAATCCCAACACTTTGGAAGACCAAGGTGGATGAATTACTTGAGCCCAGGAGTTCAAAGATCAGCATGGACAACATGGCAAAACCCCATCTCTACAAAAAATACAAAAATCAGCCAAGCATGGTGGTACATTCCTGTAGTCCCAGCTACTCAGGAGGTTGAGGTGGGAGGATCTCTTGAGCCCAGGAGGAGGAAGTTGCAGTAAGCCATGATCACACCATTGCACTACAGTCTGGGCAACAGAGTGAGATCCTGTCTCTAAATAAATAAATAAATAAATAGCCAGGTATGGTAGCATTTGCCACAGTCCCAGCCACTCAGGAGGCTGATGGGGGGAAGATTGGTTGAACCCAGGAATTCAAGGCTGCAGGGGGTTATGATCATGCCATTGCACTCCAACCTGGGTAACAGAGGGAGATACCATTCCTAGAAAAAAAAAAAAAAAAAAAAGAAAAAGAAAAATAATGAATGCCAGTATATTCAAGTGTTTGGATTTTAACCTAAAAGCCATGGGATGCTTACACATTCAACTTGTAATCATTTATGATATTGCCTCTTCATATAGCTAATGAAGTTCCTGACTTACAAGTATCACGGAAAATAGTCATCTATCAAATATTTCCACCAGAGACTTACCTGAACTGCTTCATTCCCACCTCTGAGGTCCTGAAGAGGACTTCTTGGGGGTTTCAAAATCTAGGTTAACAATTAGAATTATTAAAAAAAAATCTGGCATATGCATTAAGACTCAGTTTATTTCAAGTTATAGATAGAAAGCTAAAATTTTCATAAAAACCTCTGAAACTCCTCAAATTCATTCTGCTCAATGTTATACTGTGTGGCAGATTTAAGTAACAGACATCTATTCCCTTCTACCTGCCCATTCTCCCCTATTAATTTACCCACTCTCATCCCATGTGGTCTGAGTGAACTCCACACCAACTCTAGTGTAAAACACATAGCCCTATCTAAAACAATCTGATATTCTCTTGTCAATGATGATTGGTTCAGGAATGAGGACTTGACCCACATCAAGATAATCGAGCTAACATGATTCAGTTCTAAGTCGTTTCTGTATGTGGAAAGATACTCACTATTCTTCACATAGGACTTGAGCCTGGAAGTAAGAGAGCTAAACGTACCACGGTAATTATGGGAGAAGAATCTATCTGATGAAGATTATCCAGAGAAAGCACTAAGAGCAGAAAAAAACAAAGGAAATCCTAGTACTGTTCTCATTGTTGGAACTGCTGGTCAGTAAAATTGTGCCTAAAACCATTCTTTCTTTGGATTTTTTAGTATCATAACCCAATACATCTTGTGCTTAAAGCAGTTTGGGCGGGGCACAGTGGCTCACACCTGTAATCCCAGCACTTTGGGAGGCTGAGGTGGGAGGATCACTTGAGGCCAGGAGTTTGAGAGCAGCCTGGGCAACAGGGTGAAATCCCGTATCTTCTAAAAACACAAAAATTAGCCATGTGTGGTGGTGCATGCTTGTAATTCCAACTACTTGGGTGGCTGAAACATGAGAATCGCTTGAACCCAGGAGATGGAGGTTACAGTAAGCCAAGACTGTGCCACTGCACTCCAGTATGGGCGACAGGGCGAGACTCTGTCTCAAAAAACAAAAGCAATTTGGGTTGGATTTTTGTCTCTTGCAACAGCTTTGTACAACAGGTTAAACATACATTTTAAACAGCTCTACTGAAGTATAACTTATATACCATAAAATTCATAAAATTACTTAAAAAATTCATAAAGTATGAATTTTAGTATGTTTACAGAATTGTATAACCATGTTAAATATTTGAGTCTTTATCCAGAGAGCAACAGGAAGCCAGTGAGGGTAGGATGGTGAAGCCACAGTCAAAACTACCATGATATATAGTTATTATTAAATAAAAACTGATAATTATTAATTCAAGTCAGTCTTACTGAGGAATGCTGTCTTCTAACAGGTCTCTCTGTATTGTCACTGAAAAAAGGAAAAAACAACTTAAACATACATTGATAAAAAACTGAATTCCCAAAGCCATTATCACAGCACCCCTTATATGCTTTCAAACTGGTCACCACTTTCACTCAGCACTCCGGCAAGCAAAATTTGTATTACAAGACTTTAAATTCAGTTAGGAATTCAGTGTTTTAAAATACATATTATGTACTACAAGACTATCTCCTGAATAATAATCAGTACAACGTAATTTACCATATGTATAGAGGTATAATAAGAAAAATGGGCTCTAGTTTTGGTTTTACTACTACATGATTTTTAGACCAGGTTTTGAAAATTCAAATGCCTATGAGGCTAATAAACAGATAATTTTTTAGGACTAAGAAAAATAGGTAGTGTGAGATTATAATGACCTAGAGAATTCCTCTTTCACCTAAAGGTCAATCATTGCTCTGCTGTGGTTAGTTGCTGCCAAACAGTAATAGGAGCCCAATGATGCCACACTCAATTTTTCAAGAGAAGCTGAAAACCCAATTGTTGTACAAAATTTTATGATTTTGAAATTTTGGCAACTAATTCAAAAACTAAAAACCGTGTGTAGGCCAAAGCCAGCCAAAGTTGCTCAGAACTATAGTTCCAGCTATTCAGGAGGCTGTGGCAGGAGAATCACTTGAACCCAGCAGTCCAAATCTAGCTTGAGCAAGACACAGTCTCTTAAAAAACAACCACCAAAAAATGCTATGTGTAGGCCAACAACTTATGACTGCAAACTGCAAACAAGCCATCAGACTGTAACGGCAATTTTAGACAAATCATTTTGTTTTCCTGGTCCTCAATTCTCTCATCCTTACATGAAGAGATGGGAGGTAGTGTCTAAAGTCCCTCTCAGATTTGACTCGAGATGAGATGATGATGATGATGATTTTTGAGACAGACTCTTGAGGTAGGAGGCAGAACTTGACTGCAAGGTGGGGCTAGGACACAGGACCAAATTGAGGACTAGCTAAACAGGTCTGGGGCAGAAGCACCTCCCCACAAGACACACCCACCAGTGTGCCTTGTCAGTTTACCACTGCTATGGCAAAAACCCAGCAGTCATCTGCCCTTTCCATGGCAATGACCTGACAACCTGGAAGTTACCACCCTAATTCTAAAAATTTCTGCATAAAACACCCTTTAATTTGCATATCGTTAAAAGTGGGTGTATGAGTGCAGAACAGCCTCTGAGCACTACGTTTAGGGTAGCCCTGCTCTGCAAGGAGCTTTACCTGTGCTGCTGCTTTACACTAACACTTCAAAAAAAGTACTATAGGCCGGGCGCGGTGGCTCAAGCCTGTAATCCCAGCACTTTGGGAGGCTGAGGCGGGTGGATCACGAGGTCAAGAGATCGAGACCAACCTGGTCAACATGGTGAAACCCCGTCTCTACTAAAAATACAAAAAAAAAAAAAAAAAGTACTATATAGCACCACTTGCTGGCCCATGAATTCTTTCCTGGGCAAAGCTAAACACCTTCCCTGGCTGGTAAAGCCAGAAGTCCTCCATTTTTAAAATTTTATTTTTTGGGGGAGTAGGGGGGTTAAAACATGTTTTTTTATTTTTTGTAGAGATGGGGTAAAGGTGTCTTACTATGTTGCCCAGGCAGGTCTCAAATTACTGAGCTTAAGATATCCTCCCACGTAAGCCTCTCAAAGTGCTGGGATTATAGGTGTAAGCCACTGTGCTCAGAGTAGATGAGTTTATACAAAGATACGGCAACGGCAAGGGGAGCTATCAGTTTGTAACATCTACTTTTTTTTTTTTTTTTTTTTTTGAGAGGGAGTCTCTCTCTACTGCCAGGCTAGAGTGCAGTGGCACGATCTTGGCTTACTGCAACCTCCACCTCTCGGGTTCAAGGGATTCTCCTGCCTCAGCCTCCCTCGTGCCACCACATGCAGCTAATGTTTGTATTTTTAGTAGAGGTGGGGTTTCACCATGCTGACCAGTGAAACATCTACTTCTTTTTCTTGCCACACAATGGAAAAAGATGTGAGAAGTTATGGACAGGTTTTACTAGTTAAAAAAAAATATCTTTCTCTGACAGAATATAACATTTTTAGCTGCATTAAATGTACTTACTTTTCTTCACCAGCCTCTGAAGACACCCCATCCATTTTTGAAGAAAACTCTTCTGTAACAAATATACAATGTAAGAAAAGGTGAGAAAAAAGGAAGAGCAACTACAATCTATGAAGAGATTAAGAGTACAGTTGGTCATGGTGAAACCCCGTCTCTACTAAAAAACATATAAAAATTAGCTGGTCGTGGTGGCGCACGCCTATAGTCCCAGCTACTCGGGAGGCTAAGGCAGGAGAATTGCTTGAACCTGGGAGATGGAGGTTGTGGTAAGCTGAGATCATGCCACTACACTCCAGCCTGGCACCCGGCGCCTGACAACAGAGCAAGACTCTGCCTCAAAAAAAAAAAAAAAGAATACAGTTGGTGACTTCAGGGTTACTTTCTGAGAGAAGACCAAAAATGGGAAGGAAAAAACTATACTTATGAGGATATAAAACATCATTCATTTTAAGGAGTTTAAATCACTATTATAATTAATATTGCTGGAAAATTTTCATACTCAAAATAAAATCTGTGACTAACTTTGATCAGGATGATAGGGACTTTACTGGCTCAAATAAAAATTTGGCCTAGCTTCTAAGAGTTTGCATATTATCTAATAATCCACTCCCAAAAAGGACGGCAATTAGGTCAGTGGTCCCCAACCTTTCCTGAACCAGGGACCGGTTTTGTGGAAGACTATTTTTCCACAGACCATGAGGGTGTGGTGGGGGATGGTTTCGGGATGAAACTGTTCCACCTCAGGTCATCAGGCA